TGCAGTTCTCTCACAACAAAGCATTAAGTGTTGCTTTTCAAATAATGGTGTTGAATTGGAAATAATATGTATAGTGTGCAGAAGAGTTTCAAGAAAAAGGCAAGTAGGAAAATTGAATCCTACTTTTACCAAGTGAAGCAACTGCCAAGTATGTAATTCTGTAGGAATTTGTTTGGGGTTTGAATTTATGAGTCTTTGTCTTTTTTCTCTCAGTAGAAGGGGAAACTCCATCATTCCTGGGTGTGTTGTTTATAATTTCATAAAACTGTTCTGTGACAGGACTTATTTTACCCAGCATGCTTAATCTTTCTCAAATAGCGGTGCACCTGAAGAGCAAGGTGACAAAAAACATTTGCAGTTGGGAAAAGGAAGATTCAGCACCTGACATTTTATATAGAACAAAGGATCAAAGGTTATGGATCTGATACATAAACTAGGGCTTTGGGCAATTGAAAGATTGGACAGGAATGGAGTCATCTTGAGCAGGTCTTGCTGCACCATCCCAAATTTCTTTGCACTATACATCCCACACCAGTACATACAGTGTAATGAACAAAGATGTGGAACCATCACCATGGCAAGATTGAAGAGGCCCTTAGAGTGAATAATTAGGAGGAGGTGATTACAGAACTAATAATTCATGGAAAGGAAGGGGGAGCCAATTCAGTGAAATTGAAAGAATTTGAAGGTAAATATGCCCATAAATCCTCTGGGGTGGACTCAGAGCTTAGCAGTTTCTCCTACCCTGGTTTTATTCCGAGGCAATTTCATTAAATGCTAGAGAGAGTGAGAGAAAAAATAATAATATAAATGCCATAAAAAATCTTTCAGACGAAGGAATAAAAAGGGTTCCTGCCAGAGAGAGATTTTATTGAAAGTTATTATAATACCTATCTTTAGTTTTATGTCCTTTAATACAGGCCAAGTAATTTCAAATCTGGGGTTCTTTAAAAATGAAATACATATTTTAAAATAGTGCAGCGTGACTTATTATTTTTAATATAGAATTTAGCTAATATGGGGAAGAGAAAATATTTTCTCTCTCATGTTCTTTCCAATGAAAACACAAACACTGTTTCCATCATAGCATATGGAGAATTTTCATTACTATACTATTGCCTGTACATAAGAATGTTTAGCATTTACTATCCCTAGATCTCTGGGCAGACACTAAGGAATTAATCTGTTTATATCCCCTGGGGCCAATGGGTGAGTATAATCAGAACCATTTCAAAAATGGGAAAAGGGAACCAGAAATGGGATTTTGCTTACTGCCTTATAGTGGCAGATGAGAAGAAATTTAGTGGAGAGATTTCTAGGGTCTCTGTTCCCTAGCCTCTCCTGTCTTGTGGAAACACCAAATACAGTAATCCTCTGGTGAAGATTCTCAGCTCCAGGAGGGTTTTGAAAGGTACAGATTCCTGTTACAAGAAGTAATGGTCTTCTGGATGTTTCCTTGACTCTGTATCTGTGGTCAGGAATTTGCTCCTCTTCCTCACTAAAAGAGCTTTATTCCTTTGGGATGATTCAGATGTTGGTATTTGAGTGGAAGGTGCATGGAAAACCAATATGTGGTGGGACTAGAAAATCAGTTAGTGATGAATTGTGATGGAAAGTCCTGAGATTAAACATACAAGATAGGAAACGGCAAGACAGATTAGTGTACTTATCTTTTCAGTGGTTTCTAGAGATCTCATTAATGACCTTGACTAAAGTCTAACACCACTTCTAGAAGCTTTTTTCTTGCTCTAACCCTCATTTTTATACATAAAAAATCAGTATCGGGGATAAAGAGCAATCACAGAGCAAGAAAAACTGGAATATCAAGTGAAATAGATTGCAGTAGGGATGGGGAGAAAGGATGGAGATTAATTGATAAAATCAATTGTGGAACCAATCTTGAGAAAGTGCAGATAGAGGGTTGAGTTGGCAGAGTTTTGCACATCACACATTTGCATTTTGTCTGAGTCTGGTTGACTTCTCTGTTCAGAACCAATGCAAGCTGCATGAGGATTTTATAGCAGATAATCTGGTACACATATCTAAGAGTGCAGCATAAGTATGTTGCATGTGCAACCTTAAGCTGCTTATCAGATGGGTTATCGATCAAAAAGAGAAACAAGGTCCAGGCTTCATGATTTTTTAGGTCTTGGCACAGGGACCTAGGTATAAGGTACTTAATAGCCTTGGAAGGATGTTTTTACCTTTAATTTGGCTGATCACTTCCAAAATGCATCTAAACTTTTATTAGCTACCAGTATCCCGTTGCAAGGAGTTGCCCAGTTAAAAAAAACAACCAACAAAACAAACAAACAAAAACATACAAACCCCTCCCCTGCAAAACCAACAACATTGTGTTAAGAAATATGACCTGGGTTTTTTCTGGGCATGCTACCTTTCTGGTTGGCCCTAATAAGCAAGAGGGGGAAAAAAGTCTTATAAAGAAATTCCTTATTCTTTACAAATACCGAATCACATTGTCGATTCAATTGGATTTGATTCCAAGTTAATGTTGCATGAAACCCTTACATCTGAGCAAGTAAGTGAGTAATCAAATAGGTATAGCTGCTGATAAGTGACAACAACACATTCCTATAATTTTTGTTTGTTTCCTACCAGAGCAAATCAACACTATTCTTCTATGAGAAGTGTGAATTGTCAGATCTTCAACTCAAAGCAAAATCCACACACTTTAAATTCACCCTGGAAACCAAAACCAACTGCCAGGCCAGGGCTTTAGCACTGAGGAAGGTCTTCTGGTAGTGATGGATATTTTATTCTTTTTTCACAGTGCTGTCCTTAACTTTAGTCAACTGCAGTATAAACCTCCAGTTTCACTAATTACATTTGACCTGCATAAAGTTTTCATGCTGTATGTTTTTGTTTACTGAATTGTGCTATACATTGGTGCAATTAAAAACAAGGATCTTTCTACCCAGGGACAGCTACCTTTTACTGTTGGAAGATGCGATCACTTTATAAGTTATAAAGTTTATCAGGATGAATAATACTTCCTAAAATATATGTGACAAGAGCAGAAAAATTGATAAAAACAAGTTTCTGTTTTATGCATTCCTCCTTTCTTATGCAGACAAAATTTTAAAGCCAGCTTGTTTTAAGAGAGAAGTCAGCAGAATTCTTCCATTTTCTGTGACTGAAAGATGTTAAAAAAATGACCTTGACATTGTAAGACAGGAAATTTCTTTGTACATATTACCTCCAGTCCCTTTTAATCTTGACTCCCCATTGAGGCAAGATTATAAAAGTATTTAATGAAAGTACTTAAGCATGAAACTACTGCAAGATTACATCCTACAAAACATTGCCAAATGGCAATGCTGGATATGACTGAGTGATACATACAATAGGAATTCCTGACTTCATGGCTGTTTTTTTACAGATACTCTATTTTTACAATTTTTATTTACAGCAGAACAATACCGTTTTTCCTTCTTTGCTCAATCTAAGCCATGGATATAAAGACAGAAGAAATGTTAGGTTCAGTCTTTCTGGCTGATTTTTTGGCTCTGTTTTTTCCCCATAGCACAAATATAGAGAGTGGAGAGCAAGGAACTTCTGGCAGGGTCAGAGGTATTTCATAGCACTAGGAGCACAGGAGGCTAAAGAAAGACTGAAACCTCAGAACACTTATTTAAAGGAAAGAGGGAACATGTTGGAGACAGCCTTAGCAGATGCAGGAATGTAAAGGAGAACTTATTTAAAGCTGGAGAGTCTTTTTCAGGAATAAGGATTTTAAGGGCTTGTCATGATGTGAGATTGCTGGGAGTATTCACCGAGAGTACTGAAGTATAGCTGCCCTGCTCCCGAGTTCAGCAGTGCTTCCTGCCTGGTGAGGAACATTTCAGGTGTTTTGTTTCAGGAGTTAAACCACTGATCCTACTGCTCAACAGAATAGGCAGCTCCCTTCAAGGAAAAGTTGTTAAGGGAGACAGTTTCAGCAGAAGCCGTGATTTGAGCCAATGCTGCTGAGCTGTGGTAATTTTGTATTGTGTGCAGGAACATTACAGCCTCTATCCAGAGGCTGCCACAGACTCTCCCTAATGGTCTGCATTACTAATTCAACTAATTGCAGCAATTACAGGCAGGAGATGCTGCTGGGAAGAGACACCAATACACTTCTCTCTAACATGCTGCAGCACATGCTGCTCAGTAATTAGACCAGCATACATACACACACAAAATAAAAAAATCACCAGCTGGAAATGCGAAGGAATGTGCTGAAAGAATGTTCTGAAACTTGTAACAGTTGTGAACAGTCACAGTATGGCTTAAGCATTTAGGAAACAGACTTTCTACCCGATCAACCTTGTTACAGCCACATCTCTGTTCACTTGTTAAGCAAGCAGGTAAGGTTGCATGTTGGGCATACCTGAGATATGCAGTTCATCATGCAACAAGTGGGCTGCACAGATTTACTGATGACCAGATTCCCAGCCCAAGAGGTGCATTAACAGAGCAGGAGTTGCCTCAGCCTTGGTGATGGATCACTGGTAGCAAAGAGTACTGCTAGCTGCCTCAGTGGTGCACAATATCTGGGTCTATCTTGTATATTTTTCTTTGCAGAAAGCATGTTCACTCTGAACATGCCTCCTATTGCAAGTGTCTTGGTAAATGCCTTCTGTCTGACTCTACATGATATTGCCAGCCAAAAAAGCATCATAGCCCACTGTACTTTGTTCAACAGTATCAGTGTGATCTGCCTGCTGACCTAAACGGCCCAGCAGGTGCATGGCACTTGTGCACACCTGAAATACTCAACAGCACAGAATAAGCACTGTTCCTTTGACAGAAGACTACAGCTCAATGGAGGCACATTTACACAGGCATATCTGGAGTGCCTGGTAGAACTTTAAATATTTTAAAAGTTACAAATCTGAAACTCTTTTTTTCCTGGATACTTAATTGCCTCTGTAACAGCCTCTTGACTTGCAAATAGCTTACTTCTTTTTTTTCCTTTGTTCCTTTGCTTCATATGCCAGACCACAGATGACATTGTTTCATCAGCTGAATGTTCCAGTGACGATGAAGATTTCATTGACTGTGAACCCAGTACAGGTAAGTCAGGTCAGTCTTGTTTTGCTTGCTTTCTGATTTCATTTGCAAAAAACAATGCATACATATGTTTATATGTGTGTGAATGTATACATATATAATTATATATGTATATATATGTGTGTGTATATGTGTGTATATATATACATTTATGTATATATACACTGTATATAAAATAAAAATATACAGCCAAGCATCAGATCCCATGGACTTGGCAGAAGCAAAACACATATATGTTGTCGCTATTTGGTTTGTATAAAGTTGTTTGCAGAAACAGAAGTTACTTTACTGACAAAGTGAGAAAACAAAAATATCAATGTGGAGTGTGACGAATAATGGAGATTTGTGAAGTGGGGAGGGTAAGCATTTGAAAAACAGAAGAGAAACAAAAGTGAAGCAAAAATGGGTTATTAGCAATGTTTAATCTTTCTTAATTGCTGTGAAGATAGATGTTAAAGGTTACAGTTGTCCATGGGATTTTGAATACAGTTAACATGGTAATGTGTTTATACTAATTTTGTTTTCTGTGAGCCCAAAGAAATTGGGGAGCACCAAAACATAGTCCTAACATAACAAAATTAGTAGTAATTCTTGCCCTGTTATCTGCAGTGATGCTTCAAAATGTATCCGTTAAAGAGTCAGAAGGACTGACCATGTGGAACTGACTCAACTTCTCCCTTTCAGATACATTTTGATATATTGATGGCTTTTCTTTCTGGTGAGATATATGATGTGATATCCAGCAGGCAACTGCAGTCTATTTTATTTCTTACAGGCCTTTTCAAGTCTTCTTTTTTGAGGCTTGCCATGAGTTAAGCATTTCTATAATAGAGAACAGACATCATCGAATTTCTGTGTACATTTAAAATAAAAAGAGGGAGATTAGAATTTTTTGTCCTTAAAAGTGAAACATATAAATAGTTTAGGGGGGTTCTTCTGTTTGGCTTTGTTTTGTTTGTTTTTGCTTTGTTTTGTTTGGGATGATTTTTTTTTCCTTAAAAAAAATCCCAAGAAAGTATTATAAATGTTCTGTTTCTAGTGTCCTGAAGCCATTTGAGTTACATAATAACATTAAAATTCACCCAAGGCTAGTGCTTTCTCATTTCTTTTCAATTCGTCATGCTGTACCTGCATTTTTGGTAGAACTTGGTCCTACAGTAACCTGAGATTGGCATTGCCTTGTAGCTGGGAACTTCCACTCATACTCTTGATTTCCCTGTGTGGCAGAGAAGGCAGTGACACAGTGACTGATGCTAACAGATAGCTCAGCCTGCTTCCCATCTCTATTTTTGATAGGTTTCTGTGGGTTTTTCAAACTCCCCATCTGGAAGAAAAGCAGTCCAAATAATACTAGATTGTGAAGCATAAACAGTGTGGGTACTGAGAGTTTAAGTAAGGGTAGTAATGAAATGCCAGCACAGTGATTATAATGGAAGTGAGGCATGAGATTAATAGGACCATGCTAAAAGGACTAATGTACCACAACTGATATGTAAGTGAATGGATAGAAGTCATTTCATTAAAGCTTCACTAACATGTCAGGACTTCTTTTCTTATTTATATTCCGATTGCCAAGTATTTCAGTTAACGGACAAAATAAGGTCTTTATCTGACTCCTCCTCTTGTACATTGTTGTCATTTTTGGTTCAGAAATCACAACTACTTCAATGGCTAGAAATTGTAATAGCAATATTATTTCCAACTTGTGCTGCCAGTGGAAAAATCAAAGTTTAAGGAGAAATTTGTTAAAACAGGATGCTTAGCATGAAATTTCAGATTGCTGTAGAGCAACATTTCCAGACTAAAAATACCTCCTTCCTGACACAGTTAGAAATCTAATGCTACAAACAGGTACAAACTAGATTTGTAAAAATTACTTGCCTTTGAAAATCCTGCTAAACATTACAGTTGTCAGCTGTAAGTGCCTACAGACATTTGAATATCTGCTGTGTAAAATAATATGATTTGCTGAAAATCTTCAGAAGGTTCTCTCCTAAACTACTAGACATTCTTGCAAATTTCACCCAGTATCTTTTATAGCACCCTACTCCTCTTGCATAGGAAGGTGAAATTCATGAGCTGCTGAAACCTGAATCTTTTCTTGGGAATTACTATGGCACTGAGAATAAAGGTTAGCTTGATTATATGTAAAAATAAGTCTCCCAGATGGTCCTTGCTGATGAAGTCTGTACTTCCAGATTTGGAGTTTTCGTGCTCTCAGAAGTGCTGGTGTACAGAGTCGCCAGAAGGAGGAAGAATATGCAGATCATTTTTGCATAAGCTTAACACATTCCATCATAATAAGAAGGAAAAGTAACAGGTTTATGGTGCTTCTCATTTTCTTTGTCTAACTTATTGTCTGCATTCCCAGAGCATCCAGTGTCTGCAATACAGCCAGTATCAAAGCACTCAGGCAGCCCATTCTGCTCTGGAGCACTAAAGCAATCTGAGCCGGCTTATCGAAATCCAGTGGTGCTGGCTTGGCTGAGCAGATATGTTTGACTTTACACTTCACCAGCCAAGTCAGGATTCTGGTCAAATGCCAAGATCTGGTATTTAAATGTATATATCATGGAAAGAGAAGATCCAGATTATCCTGCTTGTATTTTCTAGTGTGTGGGTTTGGATTTTTTTAAACATAATATTGTTGTGTTTGGTTTGTTTTTTTTTTTTTAATTGGGCTCATTTGAAGTTGTTTCATCCTCTTCTGTTGATAGGTCACTGCCTTCTGGCTTGCCTGATCCTTTTTACAGCAAACTGAAAATTAAATGACCTAACCCAGCACAGTCTCCTTTTTGTTGCTCTGATAATGTGTAGCTTTTAAAGCTCTTGAGTTTCTGCCAAACACCAGGACTTGGCCTTCTACCACCCTCAGTGCTACAGTCCAGTAATGCAAAGGTTACTGAACTCACTTCTGCAGCTGTGAGATATGGTACACATCACTATGAACCTGCTGTGCAATAGCCAAGACAAGGGCAGCAGAGAATGTGGCCCTGGAAATCAGAAATTTTCAGATTTCATGTGGTCAGAATCAAATCCCAATGTCTAAACATATTACTTTGGTCCTAATCCTGAATCTGAGGCAGTACTCCACAGAATCTTTTTGAAGCCTTTGTCTTTGGGGTACTCAAAGGCTGAAAATCATGTCCTCTTTGAAGCTAAATATCATATGAGAGACATATGGCAAGATTATTGCCACTTAATAATTACTATTGATTCACTGTTGAATCCAAGACCTGAATCTTTTAAGTATACGATCTTTAAAAGAACCTGGTGTGAAGGTAATTTCCTCACTCTGCTCCTTTCAGGATTTTCCAGGCTGGCTTGAGACATTCATTGGAGCAGGCCTTCTACCACTTTTTGCCCCTTTTCCAAAAGTGATTTCTTTGGAGATTTCTGTAGATCCACTTAAAAAGCAGCAGATATCATAGGACCTTTCCTGAGTGAGGTAGCCAACAGATATCACCTGTGCACACATATGTATATATAAGGAATTATTTTAAGTGATGGCAATGACAGCTGCCATGGAAAACCCATTTGTATTTTACGTAATGCAAAAGAAACCATTGCATGTTCAGGGATAAAAAATACTTACTATTCGTCTTAATGTAAACAAGTCTAGATACCCTTATATCTCTAGATCTCCCAGAATGGCTTAATGTAAATGATACAGGGGGCATAAAACTGTTCATCTGCCCTGAAGAAGCATATACTTAACAGTCAAGAGCAGTTCCTCTCTTGTCCCTATGGAAATGATGCTTGTCTCAGTACCAAAAAACTTGTGGCAAGAAACTTCTTGTTTCTGCACCAGAAACATGATGGTTTTCCCTGGTTGAGTACAGGATTCTCTTCTGTCCTGTTTCAGGGAGATCCAAGGCTCAAATACTCAAGTTCTTCAAAGCTCAAACCGGGGTCCTGAGATTTTACTTTTGAACACAGCCCCATGGTGGTGTTTGGTCACTCAGCCACTCTCGGGGAATGAAAGATATGTAGGAAAATATCTTTTTTCTGGAATAGGAAGCACTGTGGTATCATGAAGAAAGCAAGCATTTATCTCTTTCCAGTCAGATGAGGAGCACCCCTACAATCTCATCTTACTGAGACTTCAAAGCCTTGAGGATTATAATTATGCTTTCCTGACAGCAGCTATTGCTGTCCTCTCATACCATTGCCCTTGTTTCTGTTAAGGATGCCCTTTAATGGAGCACTCTGGCACCAGGCAGGCTGGACACTGATGGTCAGGCATCTGATTGGGATCATTGGAATACTCAAAGTAGTGAGACCCAGTCACCAATTAGCCTGAAGCCCATAATATAGCCTCTTGAAATGGTATATTAGGGCTTAATCCTAGCTCCCTGGCTTGACACATCCTGTGTTTCTTCCATGGTGCAGTTGCCAGTTTTCCCTTCGTATCAGTCCATCAATTTCTTATGTGATTTTTTTCCAGAAAAATTTAGTCTGTGTTTCCCAAAAAGCTTCAGATATCATAAGGCTGTCATTCTCTAATCAGACTGGTAAGCTTTTTCTATGAGACAGTGGCAGAGAGGCCAAAATCTACAATTCTTTGCACTGGAAATTACAGTGTTTTTTACACATACCCACACACAGGAGACACATACCCTACAGGTACGGTGTCTGTATCTATAATTTACTGGCCTGTACCCATCCACTTGCAGACTGTCTGGGTTAGAGATTCATCTGCAGAAAACAAGTAGAAACTCTTTTCCAAGAGTCTACAAACAGCTAGCACAGTACAAAAACCAGGATGCTGAAAGTGAAGAAAATTGAAGAAATCAAGAGAAGTGCTGATTTGGCTGTTGTCCTCCATAGCTGCATCAATCTTCTTTAAGCATCTAGGGAATTTTTATTGCTCTCCTAAGAGAAACATCCCACACAATCCAGTGCCCAGTTACCCCCAGTCTCTCCCTCTGACAAGCAGGAGTTGTGCTCCATTTCTGATGTCGTGATCAAGAAATGGCATTTAAACTTGAGTGCATGCCTCT